GAGCACCTTTTCTACTTCCGGTTGTATTCTGTATCCTCGCTGCTCCCACTCATTAGCAACAATGCAAGGTATATCAGCCGCTAGGGGACATGCACAAATGTTTTAAAGAGGCGTTTGACAAGCAAGTCTGTGGTATTGAACGGCATATTTACTTTATCATATCTACAGGCGAATGAAGCCTGTAGGTTCATCTCTCTGCCTACCTCGCGGACTGGCGCTAGATAATCACAAAGAACTGTACAAAATAACAGAAACGACATCCCTTGAGAATTTTCAACAACAGCAACATGTAAAATGGATATCACATGTAACTCGAATTAAAAAGAATGACATCATTAAAAGGTTGACGTTCCATACCACTACAAACAAAATGGTAAGAACGAAACCCCGATAAATATTAGGAAGATCGATAACAAGTGGACTTGTGAAAGATATTTTCCTGAAAAAATAGTGGTCTATATCTCTGAGATGAGGTATTATGATTACTTGCATTATTTACATTATTTGGACTGTTATCCTCATCTTCATTGCCATATTCACAACGTTTCGGTCGTTGTAAGCTCCGGCCTTTATGTCTATGTCTCTCTATATATCTGTTTATATCTCAGAGTTGAGGTATTATGATTACTTAGATTATTTACATTATTTGGACTGTTATCCTCATCTGCATTACCATATTCGCAATGTTTAAGCCTGAGACATCCGGAAGAGTCATAGCATGGGGAACTAGAACAATCTATCCCGGTGGATGAAATAAAGGGTTTGATATGAAATTCCAATCACTTGAAGAAGGCCGAAGCGTACAACGACCGAAACCTTGTGAGTATGGCAATGGAGATGAGGATAACCGTCCGAATAATGTAAATAGCGCAAGTCATCATAATACCTCATCTCATATATATATATATATATATATATATATATATATATATATATATTTAATATTATATATATATATATATATATATATATATATATATATATATATATATATATATATCTGTGTTTGTGTGTATTTGTGTAAGTAGTAATGGTACAGCGTTAGTATAAATGAATCAGTATTTTTTTTAATAATTCTTTTCACTATATTTTCATTATACAATTTTCAATACTTTGTTTAATAATTATTTTTTTGAAAAAAGTGTTTCTAGAGTTTTTCATTTAACTTTTTAAAATTATCCTTTATTTGAATAAATGAATATTAACTATATCTGTGTCTGTATTTTTTAATCTATGGTTTTATTTCTTAACATTTAAATGTACCCACTTTAAAAAATGTTGCTAAGTGTGCAGTGATATTTTCATTTGCTCCTAGGTGTACCGTTGCTTAAAAAGGTCGAGAAACACTTCTTTAAGCCATTGGCTGTCAGGAATCGCTTCAATGATTCTGTCGGAACATTTTCCAATTTAATCCGGTGGTTCCAATTTCAACTGGAATTATTGATATCCGCATGTATCATATTTTTGAGATTACCACTTCATGATCCTTGTATTTTGAAAGTTTTCTAGAATATCTTCAAAGATACAAATAAAAAAAACAAAACTGCAAAAACTATTATGTCAGTAAGAAAGCACATTCTGTTTTTATGATATTTGATCACGATGTTTAGACGATTAGCTATGATTGTTCTGTCTGTGTGCATTGAAAAGTTCTATAGAATTGTTGCTATCTCTTTCAATAGAATTGTTCCTATCTCTGTACCCGGACCTGGGTCATGTTCATATCAGTTTCTTACAGTTGCCTTCCCATACAAGTGGCATGTTTTCTAGTGCAGATATTGGTCGACTCTATCGTGCCAAGTTTTATATTCAGTCGATGCTAACACTGTGCAACCTGATACAAGATGGTCAATTGTTTCTGGATATTTGCCACAGAATCTGCATTTTGGATTAACAGAATTTTTCAATATGTGCGCTTGGTAATTTCTACTTAGCAAGCAAAGGCCCTTTGCAGCAAGAATTAAAACCTTCCGTTTCAGATTTCAGCCCTGCACTACGTGACCACTGATGCGTACGGGGGCTGCTTATATCAGCTTACATGAAGAGCCTTATTTCTGCATCTGGTATTATTATTATTATTATTAGTAGTAGTAGTAGTAGTAGTAGTAGTAGTAGTAGTAATACTGATATTTCAAAGGAAATATAATAATGTTCTCAGGAAGTTCATCGGCAGCAGTTGATTCATCATACTTAAATATGTCTCAACACAATCATTGCGCGTCCTGATTAAGACGATAAACTACTTGAACGAGAAATTTACTTTATCAACTGTAATAATTGCTACAAGAAATACATAGGGGAAACCTCAAGAAATTTAAATAACAGATTATAGGAACACAAAGGGGATATTTTACAACACAACACATTCAATGAATTATTTGTTCAACTTAATGGGTCTGGCCATAATTTTGATTTAAAAAATCCTACTTTAATTAAAAGAGGGTTATTTCTAATTAAACGGGAAACTCTCTGTTTTAGTCCTTGAATTCTGTTTGATAACCCCTGATCAGAGATGACCCTGTTATCACCGCATGTGATGCATACATAGAGCTACATCCTATTATGCTCTATGGGCCCTACAAAAAAAAGCTTCATCCACCGTTTGAGAAGTTGTCTTTTTAACCCGGCGGAGTGTCTAGTCAACCTCCTCACCAGAAGAGATTCGTTTCGACGCCGTAACACTCGCATAATAATTAATATCATAAATGTTTGCAAGTAAATCAATAAAAAAATCCTTTTCTGTAAATAACATTGAATAAAAATAGATTTATCTCCCTTGAGAAATCAAATCATTAGAATAAAATCTATCAGGGGCGAGCGCAAATGCAGAAATCCGTGAATAAAGAGAATCATTATATTGAAAACAAAATATATGTTGGCAGATGTTGCTTGCTTTGAAGTCCTCACGCCAAAGACTTCATTGTTCTGAGCCTAGATAATTTGAATCAGATCATCTAAGTTCAGGAAACTCAATGACGATCAACATTTCCCACCTCCCCTATGACCTTTCGCCGCAAACATGTATTTTCGTGTTAAATAAATCATCCGGCTTGATGCCTTTGATCAAAGTGTCGTATATATCCCTAGAATAAATTTAGCAATATGCTTTTTTACTCAATTATTCGATTTGTTCATTCTTACGTTATTCCGTTATTCTTTAGTATTCCGTTATTCAATATCAGATTCCGAGATTATGTAGCATGCGCAACAGTATTTCCACACAAAAAGTGACAATATTAATGTGACACAATGAGTAACCCCACAACTGGCTTAGAAGAATTGAAATTATATTAAGTGTATGGCGTTTGATGAGTGTCAGTGATTGATTAGTTGATTTTACGTTTTAAAGAAAATGTATTGCCAACATTAGCAATATTGAATGTGTATCTCCCTGCGTATTATTGTATTCTGTCGGCACTCCCACATTAAAATAAAAAAAAACTATAACCAGATGTAGAAATCTCACCTAACAGAACTAACCAATGTTGTGCGACTGACTTTGAATAAAAGGGCCTCGAAAAAAAAAAATATCCAATTCCCGTCCTTCTCCCCGAAAAGCCCAATTGTACATAATGGAAATTTTATACCATGTGTGGTCTTCGTAGTTTCTCTACAAATCCATACTATTTTTGTAAATAATGGACTAAGTGTAGAAGGATGGGTTCTAATCAAACAGTTTTAACGGAAACTAAGGTAATGAATTTTTATTGGTTTTTTTTTTTGCGTTCCAAATGTTGTTTTACGAATTAATATATGTAACCGGTATATAATATTTCAAACTATATAGTCATTAATTTCATTGGCTAATGAAAACGAAGTTATGTTAGAAGTATATTGAGTCAAAAACTTCTAATCAAGTTTTTACAACAACTTTAAATACGCCTTCTTAGTAATTTCAATTTTTCTCGCCAATCAATGCCAGAAGCATTAAAAAAAACATCTGTCATTTATTTTCAAAAATAGTTTGCAGACAAGACGAATTTCTTAAAAAATAAATAGTAACAAAACAGAAAGTCTTTGATATTTCACAATTCAAACAACTTTACATGTTTGGAAGCCCTGCAATGTTTGTTTGTTTTTTTTTTTTTTTTTTGTTTTTTTGTTTTTTAATATAATTAAATGAACTCGCCTAAAGGTTGCCATCGGCGGCCATTAATCAAATTGATAAGTTACTTCGTAATTATACACTTAATGTTATAAATATTTGCAACTAAATCAAAAAGGAAAAACTTTCTCTGTAAATGACATTGAATACATACAGATTTATCTCCCTTGAGATAATCTTTAAATGACCAAATTCAAAAAGAAAAATTTTTATTATTAAATAGTCTTTCAGTGTGTGAGTCATCATGACTCTTCAGAGTTCATGTCCTTTTACCATACCTTTGTGTCTTCGTTCTGACATCCATTTAACCAGAATTGTTAAGTAGATTCTTCGCTTTTGCCATGCTCCTCCCTGTGAGTGTTCAATTTCCCAACCCTTCTTTCCTCAACATCTACGGAAATCTTTAATTGTCTCTTTTTGAGTGTTACAATTTGTTCCTTTGTAGTTTCTATCTTCTTTAAAACTTCCTCGTTATTCACATGCTTTGTCCATGGCTTTCTCAGATTGCATCTGGAGAACCACATCTGAAGTGTCTTCTTATTTTTCGAGGAAATTCTCCAAGATCCACTAACATATAGGAGATTAGACATTAGATATGTGTGAAGCGATATTTTCTTTGTTTCCAATTTCATTTTGTTATCTCCCTTTGTTTTAATCATTTTCATGAAGACATATTTAATTATTGCAAGTAAAATCCCCGAAGGCGAGAATATCCATAGACAGATGAGTGATCCACTTTACTGAGGATCGCATCCCAGACATCCAATGTGACTTCAGAGGAAACTTATACACAATACCGTGTGACAAATTAAAATTAAGAGTGACATTCAGCAGTTGTCTCATTTGCCGGGTCAGGTTTTTTATTCAGGACGCTGATGAGGTTGAGGTCAGATCCATGGTGTCACTCCGTGTATGACTTTCCGCATACAGATTTTTTGGAATATCCGTGGAATGAAGCGTTGATAGACTTACCACTAACACAAACGTGATCTGATCGGAAAAAGAAATGAAGAAGTTATTGGTCGAAACGTCGTTTATTTAGTCCGGATTTTATCTGTCTATATTTCTGAGATAAGGTATTATGTACCCTATTTACATTATTCGGACTATTGTCCTCATCTTTCTCGCTATATTTATTACAACGTTTCGGCCGTTCTACGCTCCGGCCTTCTTCGGGTGGTTGGAATGTCGAAGTGAACCCTTTATTTCGCTCACTTGGGTAGACTTTTCTAGTTCCACGTGCCATGTTTGAAGGACACGGTTACCCGATTAAAGTGGTGGAGAACTTGAAGAGGGGCATTCACAGAAGATAACTGACATTCATTAAACATGGCACGGTAATAGATGTCAGTTATCAATTATCTCCTGTTAATTCCCCTCTCCAAGTTCTCCACTGCCTTAACTAGATATTGAACTCACACTCCTCTGGTCCTCTCACTGGATCTAACTAACGCCTTTATCCACTAGAAACAGTCTGCCCCAGTGAGCGAAATAAATATTCGATATTCCAACCGCCTGAAGAAGGCTGGAACGTACAACGGCCGAAACGTTGTAATAAATATAAGTTAGTCTGAATAATTGCCGATGGTGTTGGCCATATTCACAAAGAAGACATTTATTGTTTTATGCAATACAAAGGCTAAAAAAGTCCTAAAGCAAAATAATAATAATAAAAAATACTTAATATTCTGATGGGTAAATATGGCGATTTTTTAAGCGTAGCTTAGATGTGACACAAGGCCGAAAGTGCGGAGCGAACTCACTACTCAGATTTAATTGATCTAGCGAGACAAAGTTGCTAACCCTTTCGCCACGTCGAGGTTACCGAAATGATTTTCTAAGCGTAGTTTAGATATGGCACAAGGCCGAAAGTGCGGGGCCCTGAGTGAGGATCTATATAACTATTCAGTCGTAATTGTACTAGCGAGACAAGCTTGCTATAACGATTACACCAAGGTTGTCAAAATGATTTTGTAATTGGAACTTAGATGTGGCACAAGGCCGAACGTATATACCCCCTAGTGGGATCGAATTAACTACTTGATGTAATGAATATGCATACACCTGGGTTCCCCCTCACAGTAATATTATTGACTGGTGTCAGCCATAAATACAGACTGATGTGGAGGTACATGGACTACGCCTATTGTCTTTGCCTATTGCTTACCTCTACGACGAGGACCAGTCCATTACGGTTACCTGCTAGATTGTGCTATCCGGTCACAGTAGTCAACAAACACTTTGCTACTTCGAACAAATATATCCCTTTCCGGGACATATCACTACTCAATCATAATTCAATCATAATTAATCTAGTGAGCTAAGCTTGATAACCATTAAACCACATGAAAGTTTCTAAATATGATTTTCTAAGCGTAGCTTAGATGTGGCACAAGGCCGAATGTGTGGAGCTATAATTATGCAGCTATATGTAAGAAATATGCAAGACAGTATCATCAAAACACTCTGCTGCTGTCGACTGCTACTTGTCGACTTGTAAACAACAGGTGGTGCTCTCTTCGTAGACGTTCTAAGATGTAATTGTTTCTGATTAAAAAAAACACATAGCGGATCATGGGAGTTGGCGAAATACGGCGTTCCGGATTAATGAGGTTAGACTGTATATTATATTCAAGTTAAAATACAAAGATAGGTTGTCATGGCCCGTCTTCAAATATATAAAATATCAGTTCATTGTTCGTGACATTTGACATACTCGGCTTTGCTCTTCTATTAAACGAATACGAAGCTTAATCGCGAATAATAACCACGTTGTCTATTTACTCTTTGAAAAGTTGTTTACAAATGTCAAACTAAATAAAATCACTCTCAATTTCCAACTCGTCAAAAAAGGGTAAAACTGAATCTTGCCAAATCTTGCTAATTCTGGTCCGGATGACATCGATTATTTTTTAATCGATAATGTTCTTGAAGACTTATTTGAAGACTTTGAAACTGACTCCGAGTTTTCTTGGGCATTATTCTGAAAGGACAAGAAGTAACCCATAGAAATCGGTTTTATTTTTGATAACGCCAAGAAAAGACCAAACGATAAAAATGTCTTGTTAAATGAGAACTATTTTCAAATTTTGACGCGGCTTGTACGGTTAGGTCGTCTACAGATTCTTACGGTCAATTCCGAAGACCTAGGGTCCCTCTTTAATCTGCTATGGCCGCTTAATAATTAAATTTCTTTCTAAACCGGGACAATTTATTTCTGATATTCAAAGCTTTCTTATCGTAAAACCATAAGCAAATCTGCTGATGCGAAATCTCATACCATGAAGGTGCTGAGCCCACAAGAGACACCTTATTTCTTCAGCTCTCACGGTCTTGGCAGAGCGTCCGAGCACCCCCCCCCACCGCCAACGCCAGATTGATCTGCTGGAGTTCCTGGCGGGCGACGTCATTCCAGTGGTTACGGGTTCTACCCTGAAGTCGTCTCCAGTCGGCGGATCAAACTGGTAGATGACTCTAGTGAGTTGATCATCGAGCTAGCGAATACGACGTTAGGCAATGGTGCGTAGGATGCTCGGCTGACTGGTCTTCGCTCGACACATGTTCGGACCAGTGCACACACCCGATGATCCTGAGGGTGTGGGACTCAAAGCTATGGGCACCGTAGACGATGTTCTTGCTGAGAGGTACAGAGATTTTATTATACAGGGTAGCCCAAAAATCGCATTACAACTGAAAAACTGTAACTTTTTATATTCATTTAATAAAATAAAATGTTTCCATCAATGACAATATATTATTTAGAAAATATATATATATATATATATATATATATATATATTTAATTATCATATTTGGGCACATTGACGTGGGGTAATGGTTAGCAAGCATTCCTCGCCAGAGGAATTACAATTGAATAGTAAGTTTGATTCTTACTGAGTGCTCTATACTTTCGGCCTTGTGCCACATCTAAACAACTCTTAGTAAATCACTAGGTAACCTCAACGTGTTGTAATGGTTAACAAGCTTATGTCGCCAGATCAATTCCGACTGAGTAGTGAGTTTGATCCTCACTAAGTGCTCCATACTATCGGGCTTGTGCCACATCTAAGATACGCTTAGAAAATCATTTTCGACATGGTGTAATGGTTAACAAGCTTATCTCGCTAGATCAATTACGACTGAAAAGGGATTTCAATCCTCACTTAGTGCTCCATGCTTTCGGCCTTGTGCCACATCTAATGTCCGCTTATTTCGAATAGTCAATAATGCTTAGATTCCTTGCTGACTATTGTTAAATCCTTTCTTTCTGATTTTCAATGCATTTTTATAGTAAACACATTAGCAATGTATTTAAATTATAGATATCGTAACCCTATTTTATCAGTAATATTTGTATTAATTTATGACCAACGACAATCCCTTTTCTTCTCATTTTAGGGTATTTTTATAATCATTAGCAATTCATTTACATTATACATGCACAACGCCCTTCTTAAGTGAGTAATTCTGACCTACATGGGATTTATTCAAGTATTTTCAGTAATTTTTGCAAGTCTTATTATTGTTTTCATACTGACTTTGTTGACCGAACAATATAACCATTGGTTTTAATCGGTATCACCCCATGCAAGGCAATAAAGTCACTAAGACACAAGGAATTATAGGGTGTGGAAGAATTAGAAACAGAAACATTAATAATGAGCGGGAAGAGGAAAGAGTAATCAGGAAGACGGTAGTTAGCGATTGACATTGCATTTAAATATTTGCAGATTAAAATTGTCTAGAAAGCGTGGAGCTTGGAGAAATTCCTACAAGCGAGAAGTGCGAAAAAAGAATCTGTTAGCATAGAATTTACGGTTACATCTAGAGAGCTTAAATGTAAATTGATACTGTCCTTAAATTCATATAGTTGAGGTAACATAGCGAACCGATTTATTTAGCAGCGTGAACGGGGGAAATACATTTGCTTTTTTATATGAAGGTATTTGCCGTGTAACGAGTTTGTTTGGAAATTACTTTGGAAAATGTTCTTTTTTTTGCGAAAACAAAGAAAAAAAATTTCTGCTTTAATTTACTTTATAAGTTGGACGTTAAAAAACAATTAAAGGTTGTTTTACTTACTGTTCATTTCAGGTCATTTTCTTCTCGTGGTGATATATTTTCATGGACTAATTTACATACCCGAAGTTGGAGCAAATCAAACCTAAAATAAACAACATCACACGAACGAATCTTGAGAAACTTGTGAAGATCACAACATTTCACTTTCATTCGATATTTAGTTTTCTTTATTTTTTTACCTTTTCTTTTTCATTTCTTTCATTATTCTTGCTTTTCTCTTTCTTTTTTCTTCATTCGTAACCTTCTTTTTCGGCTTCTGTTCTCAATTCTCTTGCTTCTTTTCTTTTGTTTTTACTATTTCTTTTTTTACTTTTTTTTTATCTAACCTTTATTTCTTCTTCCCGTTTTTAAGTGATTTTTTTCCTTCAATTTCAGCATGGGATTCTTTTTTCTTTCAATCGTTGTTTGTCTTTCAATTTTCTTCTCTATCTTTCATTTTCTTATCCCGATTTTTAGTTTCTTTCTTTTTTTCCTTTTTCTTTCTTTCTTATCTCTCTTTCTTTTTCTTTTGCTCAGCTATGTTCTTTACATCCTTTTCTTTTTTTTTTTTTCTATGTCGTCCTCCTTTTCCTGCTATCTCTTTCCTTTTTTCTCTTCTCCCTTCTATCACACTTTCTCTTCTTCTCCCTTTCTCTTCTTCTCCCTTTCTCTTCTTCTCCCTTCTATCTGTTTCTCCCTTCCTCTACTTCTATCTTTTTCCTTCTTTCTCTTCTCTTCTTTCTTTTCTTTCTTTTCTCTTCTTCAACCTTCTGACTTTTTTCCTTCTTTCTCTTCTTCTACCTCTTTTTCCTTCTTTCTCTTCTTCTATCTCTTTCCCTCTTTCTCTCCTTCGCCCTTCTGCCTCTTTCCTTCTTTCTCTTACCTTCTCTATTGTATCTCTTTTTCCCTTTCTCTTCTATCTCTTTTTCTTTTTCTTTCCTTCTCTCTTCTATCTCTTTCTTTCTTTCTCTTCTTCACCCTTCCACTTCTTTTTCCTTCTTTCTCTTCTTCTATCTCTTTCCTTCTTTCTCTTCTTCGCCCTTCTGTCTCTTTGCTTCTTTCTCTTCTTCTCCTTTGCATCTCTTACTCTTCTTCTCCTTTCATATCTCTTTTTCTTTTTCTCCAATTCCAGTCAATCTCTTATTTCTTTTGTCTTTTTATTTTGCCTCCACACCCAACAGACTCGTTGGCTTTTCTTTCAATTATCTTCTCATAGAACTCCACTAAACTCTGAGATTTTGTCTTTCTTTATTCCTCGAAGTATTTCCATGTCTGTAGCGGCATATGACACTTGAGAAACAGTTCCATCTTGAAGTAATTGTACCCGAAAAAGTCTAAAGCTGGCAATTTTCATTATAAACCAAAAAAGACAATAAATAATTTTATTGATTAACATATAATAAAATATAATTAAAAGAAACCAATTCAAGAAATTCGGCCTGTTTATTTGAAAGCAAAAGAAAATGACGACGACCGACGAGACAGCACTCAATTTATATTTAAGAAAATAAGATTTAATTGCAGAATTAGCTGAAGAAATTCGCAAGATGAAAGAATATATTTAACGGTAAACCTGATTCCTATATCTGTACAGAGAATAAGCAGGTTTTGGTTTGGTTTGGTTTGTTTTACGGCATATCAACCTCAATGGGTTATTTAATGCCGACAAAATCAATGAATCAATATATATATATATATATATATATATATATATATATATATATATATATATATATATAGGCAGCATAATTCATTCAACATGTTTCATTAAATAATAGAGACTCATTATAAACAGAGCGCGTTCACGCGTGTTTATAAAAGTCACTATCACAACGATTACAGTTACATTAAGTTTGTCTTCACAGTTCACTACTGAAGATGAACTTGGAGGAGATCGAAAGTACACACATACAGAGACGCATATACACGCGCAAACAAAGAAGGAAAATCAACCTAACACCAACAAAAATCGAATTTTTTTTTAACTTTATATAGAAATAACAAAAACGATAAAATTCACAGATATTTGCTAATACATCCTAACGAGTGGATGGATCTATTATAGAAAGGTTCGTCTACGAAACTTTGGAGTCGGAGTACTGAATATACCAGCAATCAGCTAAGACACAAATTTTATATTTGTATTATATATATATATATATATATATATATATATATATATATATATATATATATATTATATGAAATGGACAAAGTCCGACAATTATTTTAAGACATTTTTATGTTTATAAAAAGAATGTATAAACATAAAAATGTTTAATATATATATATATATATATATATATATATATATATATATATTACTTACTTGTCTAATTATTCTTGATTACACATCATTTCTCTTTTAAATGCCCACGTTTTTAGTTTTCGCCCCACCCTCTTTTTATTTCATCTTCTCTTTTCTTGTGTACATAAAGTTAGTAATGCAAAGCAGACGAAAATTTTCACATATACATCGGCAGTATGAATTGGCTGAATTTTAAGTTTAGATCATATCGTTTTTTATTGTGCGTAGTGTCACCAAAAATGTATTGGAGTCGGAGTACTGAATATATAACAGCAATCAGCTAAGACACAAATTTTAAATTTTATATATAATATATATATATATATATATATATATATAAAATTAAGACTTAGGCAAGACCATCCAACAGTTAGAGGTGAAAATCGCCCATCATGTGCTGGGTAAATTGCGTAGGCACGAATCCATTATATCCGGGTGTTCTCAGACTCTTGAGTCAGCGATTGGTGAAAATCTTTTAAATTCTGTCCATTGCCGGACGAATTATTCTCCCGATTTCTTTTCTGTCATACGCAGGACTAAAACGAGGCTCCATTTAGACATCTTGGAGTCCATTATTATTAATATGCAACGTCCTACCCTGTGTAGACAGAGGGAAATGAAATTTAGGTAGGTCCTATTCGGGGAGATTACTGTTTAACCTAGAAAATATTTAGTGTATATAAGGTTTTTATTTATTTATTTTTTTCTCTCTCTTCCTTTAATTTTCCCCCTTATATTTCATCTTGGTAATTTATTGGTTTTAACATCGGACGTTGATAATAATTTTTTTATCAACTTTTTTAGTTTAATCTGCTGATAAAAGTCGTCTTAAACCCCACTTTTTTTCTTAAATGAGATACTTTTGTATATGTTATAAAATGGGAAATATGATCCTTATAATTAAATCAATTTTGACTTGGTGTGGCAGTAAAAAGAACCTGTTTATATATATATATATATATATATATATATATATATGTGTGTGTGTGTGTGTGTGTGTGTGTAAGATGAGAACGAATAGTGTACAATTCCAAAGATCGTAACATTTAATTTAGAAGAGGGCTCAATACAAAGTAGAGCAATATTTTTCATTTTAGGATATTACATCGAAAACGTGTCAAAATCGCTACACAATTGCAGTCGTGTTTCGATGCGTATCAATGCATCTTATCAGACGATGAGTTGAATTGTTATGCATCAAAACACGACTGCATTTGTGTAGCGATTTTGACATGTTTTCTATGTAATTTCCTAATGTATATATATATATATAGTAATCCACAGACAGTCTGTTTTGCAGCTCATAAGTGTGGCTAGATATCCGATTGCTTCAAGTCGGGATCGAAACCCGACTGATTCGGCAACAGTCGGAGATTTTTTCCCCTAAGCCATCAACCCACTTGAAGTTTGAAAGAAAGGTGAATTTTTACGTACTTACTCTGTGAATCAACACGCCAATGACTGAGAGAGCTCAATTCAGGGTAGGGGAAGAGCCTTGTAATATTAGTAGTAATAGACATTGTTTACAAATTCGCACTTATCTCCCAAGAGTGCACAACCGAATTGAAGTTTCTCGGGTGCTTATAATCACACACACAGACACATATATATATATATATATATATATATATATATATATATATATATATATATAAAGATTATTACCTGTAGAACAACATTTTTTAAAACCCGTGCCAAATTTACTATAATTGAGAGAATAGAAAAGTTCAGAGCAGATAACATTAGAAAGATTTGAGTTCCATGAAAATAAGTGGACACGACGTTTAAAAACGCACTATACAGACGAGCTTAATCACATATTTAACAATATAGATAATATAAATATATAACCCCACAAATCAGACCTAACCACATTTCTCACCCACACAAGACAGACATGCTTGCGGAGGTGTTGAGGCCTCACACTTATACACACACCCATAGTAATATACACGCTTACACAGATCATACTCACTCACTTCCTAAGAACCAAATAACACACACAAACACTTAACAGAGACACATCCCCTCTCCAGGAACCAATAAAACTGTCCAACTGACCAGGGGAATTCAGAGCAGCATGGATCCATCCAGCTCTTATCTCACATGACAACTTAAAAGAGACTGTTTGACCAACACCAGGAATATTAAAAAATTCATGTAAAAAAAATAAAAATAAAAAACAAATGAAAACTACAAACAAAAGTTCATTTTCCCCATCAAGACATTCATTTCTGTAATTCACTGCTACCAGCAAACAGAAATATTTCTTCTCCTAATGATGGCTATGTTGGCCGAAACTAGTCGAGGAATCTAAATGAAATAATAAAAACGAAAGAATATTAGTATACAACCCAGTGTGTCTGAAGATATAATTTTTTAATATTTTTATTGCTCAAAAAATATATGTGTGTGTGTGTGAGAGTGTATAAAGATTTCATGTAAATAGTGTTTTTATTGTTGGAATTCTATATCTCTGGGGATGGGAGAGTAAGGTGAAAAGGAGAGCATCGATTATAATTATGGAACCTTTGGAAACGCTGAATTTAAATTTCTTTAGTTGTATGTTTTAATTTTTTTTTTTTTACGCCGACTGCACCTCCTCCAAAATTTGCCGACTGCAACGGACTTATAAAAACGGTCTTTTTTGTTTCATGATTGAAATAAAAATGGATGCATGTCTCCTTGCAAGTGTGCAGTGAAAGAAATAGAATCGATCTGAATTTGAACTCACTTGATGATTTCACTTTCCATATCATAAACTATATATTATCGACATATATATATATATATATATATATATATATATATATATATATATATATATATATATATATATATATATAGCAGTTGCCCGGGGATGTAATAGTAAGTGATAGATAAAGTATCGACCATCATGAAGACTGAAAAATAAAATTGACAAAGATTATTGTTTAAGGTTGACGGACACGCATGTCTTAATTAGTTTTTTTTTTTTTTTTTTACGAATTGGTCAAACTCAAACAAAAACATTGTTTTCAATCGTTATGAGTCTACCGATTAAACAGAATTTTATTATAAACAATTGTCTTGTAAATGGAATTTTTAAAGCATTCTGAATGTAAAAATAAAGAAAAAAGTGTGCAAGACAATAAGAAACACTACCTGCCAAAGAAAGTGAAGTTTTGTTGAAATCGGTTGAAAAATGTAGGAAATCCGATCCCATATATAAACGAACACACACGCACACACACACACACACACACAAACAAACAACCTGGGTTTTATAATAAGTATAACTCGATATGAGTTGTCCCACTTTCATTCTGACGATAGTGATGCCTCTTAATCGTGTTTTCAAATTGATTTCGTGCAAAAACAATTGTGTTTTTCCAATTTTTGGCGCTGTCAGAACCACCGCAAGGTAATTTTACGTAGTCCTGTAAAGTTTTGTTGAAATCGGTTGAAAAATGTAGGAAATCCGATCCAATATATAAACGAACAGACACACACAAAACCTGGGTTTTATAATAAGTATGATATATATATATATATATATATATATATATATATATATATATATATATATATATATATATATATATATATATATGAAGAGAGAGAGAGAAAGATGAAGATGATGAGACATGGTGGATATTTTTTTTATCAAAGACGCGTTTCGCCACAGGATAAAATGTGACTTCTCTTTGGCTTCTTCACTTTGACATTTTTCCCTCACAATTTGTTTTGTTATTCTTTCATTATGAAAGTGAAGAAGCCAAAGACAACACTCATTTCCTCCGGCAGCGAAATGCGTCTTTGATAAAAAAAAATGTTCAGTTTGTCTCATCTTCTTTACTTTTGTTTCGGATATTATCCATAACCCCCTATCCACAAACAAACACACACACACACACATAAACTTGTATATATATATATATATATATATATATATATATATATATATATATATATATATATAAGGAAGAGTTTATAGTAATTCCAACG